CCTACCCACTGGAGGAAAGACGATGACCATTGTTGAGGATGCGGGTGCGTTGCTCGGGCCTCACGTCGAGGTCCTTGAGTCGCCCGATCCTGTTCGCCCGGCAAGGATGTCACCAGAAACTGTGCTGCCCATCGCTCAATTCCCAGAGACGTTCATTCCAAAGTGATGGCAGTAGCGAAAAGGTTCCAGACTTTGCGTTCGCTTTTGAGTAAGGATAGGCACACGCCATCTCTGACTGCCGCTCTGACCGTGGCCTCGATAGCATCGACGGTGTCCTCGTTCGGAGCTCCAAACCGATCCCCCATGCCTCGTCGACGCTCAAATTCCTCCAGCGCAATCGCATCCCGTTCATGCTCCTCACCAATGGCGGTGGGAAGCATGAGTCGGAACGAGTCAAAGACCTCTCCTCCACCCTCTCTGTACCGCTCGAGACCTCCAACTTTATACAGTCGCACACTCCATTTGCCGAGCTGATTCATGGAGAAGACAGTCTGCGACACAAGTGCATCATGGTGGTTGGAGGCGAGTACGGACGCTGCAGGGACGTCGCTGAGATGTATGGCTTTACAAATGTCGTGACGCCCGGGGATATATACACAGCACACCCAGAGATCTGGCCGTTCAGCAAGCCCTTTCAGCGCGACTACTATGCCTCGTTTGCACGTCCGCTCCCAAAACCCATTCACCCGACATCTCCGGAAGACAGTCTGAAAATCGAAGCGGTGTTCGTTTACAACGACCCGCGCGACTGGGGTTTAGACATGCAGGTCATCCTCGATGTGATGCTTTCCCGCGAGGGCATCATGGGCACATTTTCATCCAAGAACGGCGACCTGTCCCTGCCCAACAGCGGCTTTCTCCAGGACGGACAGCCGACGCTGTATTTCTCGAACCCGGACCTACTCTGGGCGGCTGACTACCACTTGTCACGCCTGGGCCAGGGCGGGTTCCGAGAGGCCCTCGAGGGCCTCTGGCGTGCCGTCACCTACAACAAGAACCACCACAAGCCTCCGAAACTGTACAAGCGCGTCATCGGCAAACCCTACAGGACAACATACTCTTTCGCGGAGAAGCAGCTGATGCGACACCGCGACTCCCTGTTGGGAAAACACCACCCGACCAAGTTGAAAAGGGTCTACATGGTCGGGGATAACCCGGAAAGCGACATTCGCGGCGCAAATACCTACGAGTCGGCTGACGGAATCAACTGGGTCAGCCTGTTGACGAGAACTGGGGTATATAAAGACCAAGACGGCCATCGGCCGACGTGGGAGCCCGCGGCCATTGTGGATGATGTTAGAGCCGCTGTGCAATGGGCTTTGAGGGACAGTAACTGGCACCAGTCTTTGGAAGAAAGCAAAGACGCATAGAGAGTTTGGCTTTTTGGGCCCCGTATCTCATGCTCGGCAGGAAGATATCGTTCAAGCATGCCTTGAAACCGAAGGACCTTCCCACTTCTTGAGGCGACTACATAGAACCTATACAAAATCAAACACATCTCCCCCGTGGTCATTGATCAACCTCCCCACCCTCTCCGTCCCAACAATCCTCTCCAGCTTCAACACATCCCACTTTGTGAACAGTACTCTGATCACCCCCTTCGCTCCGCCCTTGGCAGCGCGGACGTCTCCATCCTTTTTGTCAGTTGCGAGCCCCAAGAGCGCGATGATCTCGGTCCAAAAGATGGGATTTTCGGGAACCCCGTACCAGAGAACCTTCCTCACGCCCTTGATCCGGTACCGGAAATGGTGATGCGCTCGTTCCGAATAGAGAAGCAAGGCATGGCGGCCGGAGAGGAAGTGCGAGCGCGCACGCATCACCTCCTTTACAGGGGTGTATTCCGAGACACTTCCGAAGGACAGAGCCATTGTGTCGGAGGATGTTGAGAGGTAGTTGCGCAAACGGGCGAAGTCGGCGTAAGTCGGAATGAAGAGCAGAATGCCACGTTGATGACGCGCGTCACGGACGAGTGGGGGAAGGATCGTGGTCGCGAAGAATTTAAAGCGGGCATCCGAGTCGGACAAGGGGTTGGGCGAGGAGATACGCAGGAAGGTTTGAGGGACGCTCGACGTGAAAGGCAGCGCAAGGGAGGAAATGGAGAGCATTGCCCCAGGATAGGTTGGGACGAGCTTCAGTCGTCCAGCGACATTGTGTAGATAGGTCGAGGCTAAGGCGTTGATTTCAGGGGTCAGATAGTCGGACAGTACGATGGTTTGGCGCAGATATTTAGCCTGCCCGTCGAGATACCAGTGGCGGACGCGGGAGAAGTCGCAGCCATGTGAATCCTTGGGGAGAAGATTGAGTTGGGAGAAGACGTAGTCGACGTGTTGCCAGTTCTGCATTTGTAGGGCGTTTGCGTGGTCCATGATGACGAGCTCGATGGAAGACAGGAAATCTGCATCGTGGGGTTTCTTCTTGTCCTTACCCTTACCCGTGGTAATCGTACGCATCAAGCCAAGAGGGGAGCCGATAATGATGTCCGAGTTGTAGAACCCAGAGAAATATTTGATCGTCTTCCTGGTGAATTTCAATCCGATCCGAAAATCTTCTTCGTGGTTCCCCCCGAAGAGTTGTCTAAAGTCCTCCGGTTTATCTTGCCATTCGTCCCCGTCTTCGTGGGAAAATGTTTCCATGAACCGTGCTTTGTTTTCTTGCTGATCAGGTTCGCTGATCTTGACAATGCTTTCGACGAATCGCACACATGCCTGCTTCGTAGGTACCACGATGAGAACTTTGGGCCGAGTGAACCCTTGATCGCGGAGGTCGAGAGCCTCGGCGTTAGATAGTGAGCTTAGTTTCGCATTGTTTTTGAGGACGCGATCCCTGGTCTTGAAGATGTGGTTAAGGGCATGCAAGCAGCATAGATCGCGCAAACGCATTGAATTCCTAACGTTCCGGCCGCCATTGATAATGTCGATGTAGTTGAACACGAGTCCAGCGACGTTCTTCTCGTCCGAAGACAGACCAGAGATGACTTTGCTCCCACCATCGACCAGCCGGCGCTTTAGATGAGCATCTTTTGGCGATTTCAGCCCGTTAAATTTGACTGGATTCTCCTTTGTGAAGAGAGCTGTACTGCGAATACCGGAATCCAAGGTGGACGAAGTGGTCAACCATTGCTTCTGGTCCACCAGGCTAACTGCGTCTTTGAAATCTTGTTCCAAAATTGCCTTGTAATGCTTCTCGAACGGATCTCGCAATAAAGTTTCTTCATTTTCCGAATCAACGTCGGCCACATGGCCATTTTCATGCTCTTCGTCGGCTTCCACTTCCTCTTGAAGTTCCAAAGGTTGCTCGTATGGGTCCTCCTGAGCGCTGCGGTATTCAAATCGTTCCCCATCCGTCACAGCCCTGTTCGCTGTGCGCTCCTCACTCCTTTCGCTGCGTAAGAGCTTTCTTCTCTTCGTCGGAGGTTCGGAATTCACTCTCCCCGCGCTGAGCGATTGCAATAATAGGACATAGGGATTCGAGGCAGGAGCTTCATCCTCACTCGCAGACTGAAGTTCCCGTTTGTCTTCTTCGGACTGATCTTCCTCGGCGGCAATCAAGGCGTCCTCCTCGCTTCTAGCGTCATCTTGCGACGCATCATCTCTAACAGCATCAGTGGACCACAACTCCACCAATTGTGCTCACAAGCCACTCACTCGGTTTCTTTCAGTCGGGAACCCTTGAAGACATCGCGCTTCTCAGCCACGGGGCCTTTTTTGCTTGCGCGGCCCTTTGAAACAGGTCTGCCTCCTCTGCGAGATCGGTAGCCAGGCATTGTGAGTTGCCTAAATTTTAGCAATGGTAGTCGATGCGGGGAAAAATTTTGTGTCGAACACAAAGTGAGATGTCTCCAAATAGCAGACGCCGCATCACCGCTTTACCCGCAAGCACAAAGTATAACACGTGATTCTACAGCGGCGTGTTTTTGTCCCGACCAGCCCGACAAACGCGCTCAAGCACTGTCTATTAATAGCTGTGTCAGCTGTCTCAAACAGACCATATCGACATCTCAGATCAGTTGACAGCGTAGCCCAGTATGAGGCGTGGTGGGCCAGCTGGGTCCTCTCGAAGAGATGTACTGGGTACGGACTACCGAGTCCTTCCTGTCTCCTGGTTCCGCGCCATGATTCTCGATTCTCGCCTCCTGCCCCTGATGAGAATCTGCGCTGAGGCTGGGTCAAGTTCAGCTGCCGACCCGGGTCAGGCTCGTGCTCGGCACTCCTATTGACTGCAGCCAGCAGTAGCAACCAAGGCAAGCGAGGGAGATACTAAGGGTCTACGGGACTCAAGCCCGACATCCTCACAATTACAGAATGGTCGGCTTACAGACAAGGTCCCCTCTTCTACGAGGGTGTATTTTGATCAGTGGTTGGACATTTCACAGAACCATAATTCTTCGAAACTGGAAATCACGATCAGAAAAAAGTCAGCGTCAAGGACGCCGGGAATCAGCTTAGATGGAGTGACAGTTTTGAGTCCGGCCTCTCAACCCTTTTGGGTTCCGAAACCTAACCAACAAGTTGTGGCAGATCCCCAATTGCCAACCGCAAACAAGGGACACACAAGTCATCCGTAAGGCAACGCTGGAACTAGTTCGCGCGGATGGCGACCTATGCAGCTCAGGAACGGACGCCTCAAGTACGGTTCAAGGATGCCTCGAACATTGTCGTCGTCAAACTCTGCAACCCAAGTTCAGAAGAGTTTGCAAACAGTCTGGGGAGTGACAAAAATCATAATCGTTCCGTTCTTTCAACGTCGACTGCCTAAAAACACCAGGAGAGGTGACGAAAACACCAGAGCTGGACGCAGCCGGACCATGTGGCGGGGATCCGGGGAAGGATGGGCCCTGACAAAACCTGTGATGCTTGCGGCGGAAATACTGCGTGTTGGAGCGTGAATTTGGTGGCAGAGAAAACTGGTATTGTAGCACGACTTGAATAATCAATTTACCCGGATTCATCATTTAGCAAAGACAGACTAACAATCCATTCAGCTGTAGGTTTCGAGCCTGTCTACTGACTCTCTTCCGGTTGTAAGGACGAGGACCCCGGCGTCTGGGTCTGCAGACGTCTCTTGAGACGGAAATTGTCAAGATGACGGCTGTCGTTGTCGCCATCTCTTTCCAAAGACTTGCCTCTCCTGCCTTTGCCCATATTGATAGCTGCAATGACGGACTCGAGGGCCCGAAGTCCCGACTCCTTGGCGCGGGTGTCTGCATCAGCACCGTGAACCTCCTTGAGGTACCGCATAAACTCAAGGTATGCTTTGGAGAGGACTTCCAGGTGCGACGCTCTTAGAACGACGTTGGTACCGTATTGTGCCCTCAGGTCATACTTCTTGTTCGAAGGCTGGGCGTCAAATTCGGCAAGGGCAAGTGCCGTCTGGCATGCATTGCGGATCAGGCGTCCGTTCCATCTGGCGGAAGTACTCGCCGACTTTTTTGAGAATTTCAAACTCCTCGATCTTGGTTTTTTTCTCTCTTTCTTTTCGTACCTTCCTTCAATTAAGTCCAAGTTTAATTTGACCACTTTGATGGTAGATATGCTGTTCTGTGGTGGATAGTGGAGGTTCATGTGAATTCGGGAGGCAAAAGCCTCGTCGAAGTCGCCAATTCTATGGGGTGTTAGAACTGTTTCGAGAAAACGCGTCTCAGGGGTCCGACAAGACGAACCGATTCGTAGTCAAGAAGAGAATTCCTGCGTAATATTCCAGCACTCGAAGAAAGACAGAACGGCAAGATGAGCGAATTAGCCTTCGTCTAGGGTGACAAGACTCGTTTGCTGTTCCCATCGGTGTCCAATTTCATACACTCGAAGAGGCATCAAAGGAGGCGAGGACCACTCACCTGCTACAAGTCCAATTCGAGTGAAGTTCTGGTGCCGTCTCTCCGCGAGGAAGAAATCCGCTTCATCGAGAAGGAGGATGCAACCCCATCGGTTTGGCAAGGGCCAAATTCGTTTGCAACGCAGTTTCTACCTGTTCGGCATTCGAACCAAGGTCACCTGGACGTAGAAAAACCTGATTAGCTCGGCTTGACGTTGTCTCGAGGTGGAAGTCGCAAGTTCATGTCTCTCTTACCACAGGTGATTTGGAAAAGTGGCTTCCTGAATCTCTCAGCAACTCCCTCTGGAAACCGCCACGAACTGGTGAGCTACATGCACACTTGATTCAAAAGTCACAAACATGTAAATATGTCACCAGGCCACTGTGCTGTCAAAGCATGTCGACAAACAAAGATCTCTTACCAGCAGTTGTTGTCTTTCCCACTCCTGGGGCACCATGGAGAAGGATGATTAAGCCCTTTCCTGATGAAAGTTTAGCAATAGAGACAAGAGAGTCACCATGTCCCAGGAATGTACCTTTTCCACGCACAATGTCGTCCTGCTCATCTTTGTCCTGCTGGGCCTCCTTATTTCGGAAGTGCTGTGCGATCAGCGAAAGAACCATCTTCTTGTGGCCCCGGGGCAGTACAAGGCGTCCGAAGGCAGTCTTGTCCGATTCGTCATCATCCAGGTCATCGTCTTCATTAATATCGTCTTTGACAGCAGAAGTGTTTGACCGGGGTAAGGTTCGATAGGTCCAGCTGTGCTATGTACAATGTTAGTTTGCGAGTGTCCAGGCGCAGAACCTATTGCTGTATATTTACTCACCCCACGTCCGGTCCCGCAAAGCAAATCCGAAGACTCGATACGACATTATAAGTAGCTCTTCGTCCTTCTAGCTTGTTTTCATCCGTCTTGGTATCTTCCAAAGGCCGGGGATAGATGGCTCCGGAAGGCATTTTGCGTGGATTGTCTTCGATCTCGTCCATCATGTCACTGATGAATTTCTTACAGCGATGGTTTTCAACATAGGAATCGTTGTGGACGTTTTCTTGCCAGCAACACTCCGCAGTGCAGCTACTGGAATCCCGGTTTTCTGTGAGGTCAGCTGCTAGATCTACGAGTGGCGTAATTTCTGGCAACCACTTCTTGTTCTTTTCGGATCCCAAGGCCTCCTCGAAATCGATGACGACCTGGCTCTCGATCTCGTCTCTGGTGTCGACAGTCAGGCCTGCATAATACCTGTGCTTGACTCCAGCTACCTCGACAAACTTCCTGCCACGCTCAATGAGGCTTTCTCGCAACCGAGCCACGCCAGTCTCCGCCTGAGACTCGGCCATCTGGGTGGGTCCCCTTAAATTTCTCGCAACATAGAGGAGGAGAGGGAGGATTTAGAGGGTGGTTAAGGGTCTCTCGCCATCAAATCTTCTGATCGTGATTTTCTCTAGGACCGGTCCAAGCTGCCTCCCATCGTGGTAAATGTAGACACAGGAAACAAGACTCCTCATCGTCCTTTTCTCTGGTATAGAAAAACCAACGATTGGCCCCCTTATGCGGAGGCGTGGAAATGTTGGCGACGAGGTAGGCCTGCTTGCCATGGTTGGAGGCGACGATGTCTCCAGGTTTGAACAGATGCCAAATGTCCGAGAAGGAGATCCTGTCACATCCGACACTGTTCAAGTAGGCGTGCTTCGAGGAGAGATACTTGTCCATGAATTCCAGCAAGCAAGCGAGATACTCTAGAGCAGTGGTGGACGTGCTGTAGCCGTCCGGGTCGTCCACCCCCGACTTATCTTTCCCCATCGATCGTGGGTCTGACGATTGTTGCCCCTCAGCAGCCTTTACGGCCTCATCAGGATCGGGAGGTCCTGTTGTCGTATACAGACCCTCGGTGTCGAGTTTCGCTGTTTCGTGATCACGTAGCAACTTCAAATGCCACTCTCGTATTTCCTTATCATAATATCTCAGCATTTTGAATGGTCGGAGCAAGACAAGCGGGGTGTTTTCACCTTGCTCCTCTTGGTCAGTGATCAATTTGGATCCATGAATACGGGAAAGAATCATGATGAGCTCCTTTGAATGGAGTCTGATCCGTTCAGGTAGAGGTCCTTGGCCCCCTTCTAGTGAACTGGGGCGAGGCTACTAGCCATGGGCATCAACTCGTACGGCGGTGGGTATAGTCTCTTCTCAACGCGCACACTCAACTAGGGGAAGTCCTCTCTGTTGGTAACTTGGTTGCTTGTGTATTGTATGAAAGATAGTCCCCCAGAACTATATAAGAAGAACCATAGTCTAGGGTCGGCGCCCCAGCCAATCATAACGCTATCCACCACTTCCAACTTCTCCCATTACACTAGATTGATCGCAGATGTATCCTGTGCCTTAGAAGTCAGGATGCTACTCTTTGAAATTCTCCAAGGATTGGCTGAAATCTTTGGCTCCTCGATGAGAATGTCGATAGCAAAAGGCGATTATTGAAAGAAACGTAGAGCTCCGAACGCTTCCCAGTCGACTCGATTCAGAGTTACCCAACATCCCCCCTGGGGTGGTATAGTCGGACGCCAAAGTACCGTCATCGCTAGGAATTTTACGTTGTGCCATCGCTTCCTGTATCATTTTCGCGTCCTCTCTCAATTGTTCTTGTTTGTACTGAGCTGCTTTTTGTCTCTTTGTGTTTCAGATATCTCGATCTCTGGGCATTAAGCCGGTCGAGCTCCCACTCGAAGTCACCGCTCAGCCTCGCACGAAAGTAGTCGAAGTTCCTTGAGCGGGTTGAACCATCACTCCACTCTTCGCTGTCAGACGTATCGCACCGGTTAAGAGGCCCGAGTTTGCGAGAGTATATTGGTCGAAGTGAGGTTAGCGGGCGGATAGCACGATGTGGCATCAGCATCGTATCATCTCTTCGATACTTCCCGTAGTCCGATAGCGTCCATGCGAAATATTCGTCCATGGTCGCAAAATCAAAGATGGCGCATTTGCCTGATCCTCTACGCCGTAATCAGTTGAAAAGGAGTGCATAAAGGGTCCGGTGTAGGCATATTTGGTTCGAGAACCTGCAGTTTTTTCAGCGTGTTCTTCCATGTCTTTTTCCCATTCTTCGCCGAACGAGCCCTCATCTGCTTTCGGAATCGTTTCTCTCCGGAGGCACCCGGGGCCTCCGTTCCTTCATCATCCGCGAAGTGCTGGCCGTTGACACTTTGCTCGCGTATCGCCTGCTGTCGCAACTGACTAAGCCTCTCTTGCAAAGCTCGAATCTCGAGAAATATGGGAGAGGCTGTGGTAGCTGTATCCGGGGCGGCTCCGGTGGCTTTGTCTTCAGATTGATCATGGTTTTGGTCGTCAGCTTTCTCGTTCTGGAAATGTCAGCTGCTTGTCCTGCGCCTTGACTGGCACTTGACCAACGATGTTGTTTTCCTCGATCTTCTCTCCAGGCTGTGTGTGTACGACATCCCCCTGTGCCTCAACGGGACTAGCTGCTGGCCCAGTGAGGGATGGGATTGCCTCAGTCCGCTTAGGAGACGGCGCCATGGTCCTGCGAACTGGGGTCCTCAAGTCAAGGCTCGACTGCAACAAGACGGACTTGCAGGTACTTTGCAGGTACAGGCAAGGCTTAAACTAGGTTGCTAACCCAGTTTGCTTTCGTCTTTAAAGGCACAAATCTCGGTTGAAGATGTGAATGCTTCAATCAAATGGAATACCACGCAGAGCGGCAACCTGGCAACGACCTAGACTGGAGTGGGGAGAAGGTTGGGTTTCTTGAAGGGGGCTGGGCTGTTGAAAACTAACCCTCGATAAGGCCCTTCAATCAATACTGGGCCGCGCGCTTTCTCGGCAACTGCAAGAAGAGAGGCTCGATCTTTTGTCATGTGCTGAGTTCGTCAGGCTCGTCAAGCCGTGGGAGGCGTCCATTGATATGCAGGCATGGAAGCCACGCATTCGTCGGGGACAGTAACGGGACAAGAGTCTTTCAGCTCAAATGCAGAGACTGTAAGTCCCATCCCAAGCAGGCCAAGTGATGTCTGGTCAGAGGGCCACGCATCCTCCAGGATTGCCAATCAGAGTTGTCGTCTGAAGACCGGTGAGGACTGTAGGTTGCGTTTAGCTGTCGAGCTGGAAGCGCGCACATCCCTGCCCCAACGTGCTGATGCACAGTCACAGCGGCTGAAGAGGTGTAGGTCCAGCAGGTAACCTGTCTCATGGGACTGGGGGAGGTGTTCACTGTTCGTTGCCTGGACCGAGGAGGTTGATACATTTATCCCCCCTCCCTACCCCATACACCCTCGGATTTCACTTCGCATTTGCCTGTTTAATGGACCCGGCAACATCGTATATACTAGACCTTGATCGGCAGTCGCTAGCCGTTGATTTCATCGAAAATCGCCTAGCGAAGTACCACCCAGGATTTGCGACGCCGCCTGCTCGGTACGATCCGGCCCTCGACAGCTTCATAATCTTGACACCGCCAGCAGATGCAAGAATGCAGTCACCACAGACTTCCGCTATGCCGCCACAAGGGGATGTCCAAATTTTCCCAAGGCCGCCCGCAAAGCCTGTAGCGGCGCTCAAATTCTGGGACCTCCTATTCGCCCGTGCCATGAGCCAATTCAAGATGGCTTCGGAAGAACCAAAGGGCCACGAGGCAGCCAGATTCAGTATCCGGGACAAAACCAACTGGACTGCCGTCTGTGGCCAACTGGAAAAAGCCAGAGATCTCTACTTCGAAGGGAAAGAGCCTACCAGCACCATGAGGAACGTTTATCACAAGCTGGCCAATCGTGCCGCCCCCGTCGCCCTCGATGTCACCAAGCTGGTTCCAGACATGAACAGTGTGTTTGTGACACCTGTTGTAGCCTCGATTCGGATTATCCTAGAGGTTTGCAAATTATCTCCCCAGGGTTGGATGAAGACTGGTGCTCACATCGCTGCTCGACAATAGGCAGTCCAGAAAGCCGCCCAAGTCAGAAAGGAGATGGAAGACGCATTCGATGACATCGACATAATGTTTTCTGCTTTCTCCAGGCATTTCCAGATAATGAAAATATCGTTCAGGCTTCCGTCGAGTTGATCATGGCTACATTCTCTGCCATTGAAGCGGTCATTGGATTCTTCCTGAAATCGGCCCGCAAGCTCCATCTCCGTTAGTTATCCTGGGACACTACGATTCCGTGCAGTCTGTCTCGATTTGTCAATTACTCATTCCGGCAGTGAATCGAATGGGCCGGGCCATCCTCAGCAGGGAGAATTACGAGCAACAAATGCTAGACACGCTTCAGAAGGCCGAGTCTAAGAGCCAACGGCTTCTTCGCGAGGCAAAAAATTCTGGCCTATTGTTCATGAGTGAGGGGATGCGGCGGATTCTTGCTCGTCAGGAAAAATTACACCACGAGAGCAAAGAAAACTTCAAATTAATGCTTGACACTCTTTTGAAGGAACCTGCGGCCAACAGAAAAGGTAGACTAAGTCAGTTAATACGGCATCTTAAAGGGGAGAATCTGACACCAACGCAACTGTGTAGAACTGAACTTTCTTCATGTCGCTGTCCAATCTATCTCGCGCCCAGCATCACCCAACCCTCCGCCCTATGAGAGCGCGGCCGAACGCCACATGGACCCGCAAGACCTTCTTGACTGGATTAACATTCCGAATGTGGCAGATTATGACCTCAAGTTCATTAATGAGAAGAGACAGATACGGGTCCCGATGAACGAGCAGGCACGCGCCGAACAGCTCATCCAAGCGAGACAACTCAAGGACTGGATGGTATGCCCTACATCATCGCAGCTTCTGATCCACGGAGACTACCAAGGCAAACAAGACATGTCGGGCATATCCCTGTTCTGCTCGTCCCCTGCCCAATCACTTGTCGCCAGAGTTCCACAGTATATACCCCTCGTTTTCTGCTGCGGTCTCCGCACTGATCGGACCGTTGGTGATTACACTGGAGACCTCGCGATCATCCAGAACTTCATTTGCCAACTTCTATGCCAGTTCGACTTTGACAAGAAATTGTTGGCCAACGACGTGGGCGAAGACCGCATCCGGAATGGAGATATCGGCAAGTTGTGCAGCTTGTTCGAGTTGCGCGTTAAACAACTACCCAGTACAGTCGTGCCGTTTTGTCTAATAGACGGCATTGTGTATTATGAGAGGAAAGAGTTTGTGAATGATCTGAGACTCGTGCTGGTCACACTGCTAAAGATCTCAGAGCAGAACGACCAGGCAGCGGTAAAAGTCCTTATCACCAGCCCAACCATGACAACATCTGTTAGGAAGCCATTTCCGGATGAACTGATTTTGTCTATGGCATCAATGGCTCACTCGGACAAGGTTGCTAGCAAATGGAGGCTAGAAAGACAACTGAGAGAATCTCAGGAACAACCAATCGATGACGAAGCTGGGTGAAACAGGACGCCAGGGGTACGTTCTAACAATATAGGTGAATGAAATCAATATCAAGCTCTCATCGTTTCTTATGCAATACTAGGGGCTATGAATTGCAAATAATGAATGACGGTCAGAGGCGAAGAGAGAGTGGGCAGGAGGGGGAAATAATCTAAGAAGTCTAGGGTAAAGAGTGACTTTAAAGGCAGTACGAGGGAGACCAAGTGGTTTTTACAAGCGGGTACCGCAGTCACGGGGCGGCGGAAGATGGATGACGGATTTTCGCCGCGTCTCGCTACCTCAGAGATACACAGCCCTGTCAACTAGCCATACTGAGCGTTTCCCTTGCATTGTAGGATTGCCCACTGGAGCCGCCGAATTGACCTGGAGCAGCGCCAGTACCCATCTACTTATGTCGGAATGCTTAGGCGTGCATACATGAAACATGGGACGACCAACGATCGTCTGTAGCCCGAGGCCTACTTGTATTGATAGACAAGTGGGCTGATACCTGGAGTCCATCTGGCAGGCTGGACCACATGCAGTCTTTTTGATACCTCTCAGACTCATTCAGCACCACCGATCGCTCGCAGTAAAGAATACGAAGTCGAACCTTCACAAGTCGAACTACTCACCTCAAGCCGAGCCCGATCCCGCACTGCACATGCTTGCCTACGCTTTTGATCTAGTATGACTTTCCGGCTACGTTTCGGCGAGCTCGGCTTCGGCCGGAACCAACCCCATAGGAATCATTCAAGAACAGGACATTGGCACGGCTGTGTATAGTTTCTCGTCGAAAGCGGGGACTAGCCTTGTCTGATCGAGAACCTTTTGCTCCATTTTTGGTAACTGGCTCGCTGGACAGCCTCACCAAAATGTCAGACCCTTCGAGCACATTGAATGGTTCTCGTGGAAGGGGAGAAATAGAACTTCCGTAAGGAAAGTTGTCCCTTTTCAAAGGATAAGTAGCAAACGATGCGTGTCTCTTATTAATTCAGTCCTAGAACAGCCTGGAGGACAAGGTTATGACAGGGCTGAAGTTTGTTTAGGGGCCATCATCCGGGTTCGGTGCTGGTGTACCCAGCACATAAGGCCCTAGTAGCCTTGGGGCCCCCTCTACCTAATCCAAACTAATCTTGACTAAAGTTGGGTCAAGTTAGGTGCATGCGTAGTAAGGACTTTAACTATTAATCTTAATAATAATCTTAACCCACAATTCGTCGATTTAGGTAAAGCCCAAGGAGCCCATAAATGCCAGGACTCCAGAGAGGGAGACTTGCCCAATCGGACGGAAGAGGAGTAAGAATGCACAACTCCACGTGATTCAAGGGAATATCTGTTTTTCTGGTTCGCCGGCGGCCTGAATTTTTCTCCAGAACGAACCCCCAAAAACTTGTCCTTGACGACAAGCATACGAGCCTGGGGTATGATGTGCATAACTCTTTTTAGTTCCCATGTGCATACCTCTTTTAGAAGGATGACCAATATTGAAATATGCGCTCCCGTGACAATCCGGACACTGAGATCGCTCGGAATAGACACCAACCACCTCCCTCGACTTCACCCCACAGTTCGTGACGCTGACTAGATCAGCTAGACCCAGCATACTCTGTACAGTCTGGACAAACCTGGCCAACATGGGCGTCTTTTCGCTCGTCACTAGTCTTTTTACGACTTTGCTTTGCCACTGGCGCTGCCTTCAAGGGATGACTAACTCGAATGTTCGCATTGATTGGAAGTTCTCCGTCGCGATCCCAGACTTGGCATTATAATGACCACGGCGCATTCACGGCCGCGGAAACAATGTAACCAGAAAGCCCAAGCCATCGGAGACCTTGCATATGTAAGCTGACAACAGTGGTCCTGAGTTGTCGTGTTCGGATTCTTCATTGCAAGGGACGCCTCATGGCGTGGCAAAAGGCTCGGCGCGCATACTTTGTGTATATTACAGATGGGATTTATACATGGTTAACAGTCCAACCGGGGGAAATGCAACACGTTATTCCTAGTCTCAGAAACTTGAGAAAAAATATCAAGTGAGCCGTACAATCTTCCTCCCAGAAATCCGATATCATGGCCTCGTCAAATTCACAAGAACTCATCAGCCTCGCCCGAGACCTTTCGGACATTATAAAAAGGGTCGATTTTGAGTCGGGATTGTCGGTAACACAGCGCGAGCGCATTCTCCGTCTCAATCAAGAAATCAAAAACAAAGTGCAGCCTCCGGAGGACCACATCATCGCTACGGCCTTTACCATCAATCTCAACATCTGCATTCGTGTGTGTATCGAACTCGGAGTGTTCGATTTACTGCACTCCGCAGCGCCAAACTCGCTCTCTGCCTCTGACATTTCAAGGACTGTGAACGCGGAAGAACTACTGATTATTCGCTTCATGCGAGGCGTCTGCTCCCTCAACTTTGCGACCGAGGTAGGGCCAAACCGCTTTCTGGCCAACAACGTTACCCACGCCATGGCCCAACCACCTCTGGCTGCAGGTTTCAGTCTCATATTTGACAATGCCGCAAGACCGAAAAGTAACTTGTGGTCTCACATGGAGCTCTTCCGTCAACAGGGATATAAGAGCCCCTTCGACGCCAAGAACGGGCCCTATCAGCATGCAAACGACTGCGTCGGCAAAACGACCTTCGAGCATTGGATGCTGGATCCGGCAGAGAGCGCTCGATTCAACACTTTTATGAAAGGCGTTAGGGGAAGCCGGCCGAATTGGTACACGTGGTTCGACGTCATGACTCTTCTCGAAAATGACCGCGAGGCAACAGATGAGGAAGTCTTCATGGTCGACGTCGCAGGAGGGTACGGGCACGATTTGGACGCGTTTCTGCAATGCCATGGCGACCGGGTCCGAGGCCGGATCATTCTACAGGACCTTCCATGCGTCATCGAGGCCATCGCGCCGGGTTCCATCTCCGATCGGATCGAAAGACAGAAGCACGACTTCTTTCTTACCCAGCCCGTCCACGGCGCCAGAATATACTTTATGCATATGATCATGCACGACTGGCCTGATGACGACTGCGTCAGAATCCTGACCCACTTGAAGGGCGCGATGACAAGGGGCTACTCACAGATCCTGATCAACGATATGATTCTTCCTGACACGCAGTGTCCGCTAATGTAAGCAATAACCCCCTACAAAAAAACATTCGTGCAGTGATCAATGGCTAAGGTAAAACAACTAACGTTGCTTTTCTGCCAGCGCAACCGGAATGGACATTACGATGATGGCACACCATTGCGGGGTGGAAAGGAATGAAGAAATGTGGAAGAGCCTGATCTCGAAAGTTGGCGGCCTGGAACTGGTGAAGATTTGGTACCCGCCTGAAGGGGAAGGGATCGTTCAGATCGCCAGAAAATGAACCATCTGTTCCTCGATCTCCAAACCGTCTAGCCGGGAAGCCCCGCCCACTAGAGAGGGCGGACAGCAACGAGCTGTACAAGTACCATCTGGATGATTTGCGTTCAATGCCTCAAGTAAGGCCCTCCGACTGATCCTCCACTGTTGCCTAATCTTGTCCCCACTCCGTATGTATACACATCCCATATTTTAAGCACCAAGCTGCCAAAAATATCCCATTGGACAAAACAAAGACATTAAGCGAGAAGTTTTGTGGAGAGTCGGGCCTTCCCTTGTTTTTTTTCTTGGGGGAATCTTAATTCGCCAGCCTTGTCCAAAACCAATGTGGATCTTCCGCTACCAGCTGCGCGCGTATTGTGATTGGTGTTAAGGGGGGATCCATCAATATACCGAGCACTTTGTACAAAGTACGCGGATGAAATGGATGCTCCGTCCTTCCTACTCCCTCGTCCTTCGCCCTGCCCCGGATTCTGTTCTATCGTGTCCTTGTCGAGTTGTATCCATGAATTACGTGCCACAAGCCTCCGCCAAGTCATCAAACCTGGACTCCTCGATGGACACGGACGGAAACCGCAGGTGAGTGCTTAGTCGCTTGCTTGCTTACGGGGGACGATCCCATTTGGGCAAGGACAGAGAGGATGTGGAGAGAGGCCTCTTGCTGCATGTACTGCTGAGGACGTACTGCCTAGGGAGTCGCTGGGATACGATACATTGGAGCAGATGTAGACGCACCAGACCTCACCCCGATGCGACTGTAGTCGAGTACGTAGTGTGATAGCTTGATTTCGCTCGACGTGACGTGACTTGGCGCGACTAACCCGCTTCGAAGGTGGGTAGGAAGAAGCGAAGGTGTTCAGCCGAGGAGGCGGAGGATCCCGATTCATTTCCCACGTCCGGTTCTCTGGGAAGTGAGACGGGCGAGCATTGAAAAGGAGGGACGAAGCAAGGAGAAAGATTGTAAATACTTGTCGTCGTTGTTGTTGTCGTTGAATTTTGTCTTGAGAAAAACAAGAGCCTGATCCCTCGATCGGCCGCAATGCTGCTGTCGTCTTCATCTTCATCTTCATCCCCATTGCCATCATCATTATCATCATCATCATAATGCAGATCCCCGTTATTTACTTCGAAGCAGCCTACCCTCATGCACCTTCGCACTCAACTAGCTACATAACAAGCTTATCTAGCCATCGGTCGGCCTTATTCTGCTTTTGCGTCTGCAAGCTCAACATGTTTTATTCCATCTCATCCTCGCTCCAGAATTTCCTGGGATTTGTGCATCTCGGTTTCCCCTCGCCGACTAACCAAACTTGAAAGGCCAATAGTTCGGTCAGCCAGTCTATATCCAAGCCGGCTAAGTTCACATGTGGCTGTAGACCCGGAGTTTCGAAATCGGAACTACTAGACAAGACGCCTTCGGGACAATCGCGCTGGGCCTAGCTTGGGGGCGGCTCGGAATGTAATGGTCGTGCACGGGCGCAAACACACACCCCTCGATTCGAAAGCACGGGGCCTTCCAAATCCATCGTTCACGCCCCGTCCTCGGATTTGATGGCCTGTTCGACACTGCTTGCATCTTTCACGTCGGCGTTTGCGGCGTCGCAGGCGGCTTTGGCTAGAGCGATCTCTCCCGCTTCTTCGGCGTCTTGTTCCGCTTTGATAAACGGCTCGCTCTTCATCTTCTTCTTGGGACTGCCTTTCTTGGCGCTCCCTCGTGCTGTGATGCCGTCGCCGTCTTCTGCAGATGCCTTGCGCTTGCGGGGAGTCTGCTTGACGGACTTGGGGGTCTTGGACTCGTCATCTCCTCCGTTCGCAGCATTTCCAACAGCACCAGCAGCACCAGCAGCCAGACCGTTACCGCCGCCGACGCCATCCGGGGCGGTGATGGAGCCGTTCTCGAACTTGAGGCCGTTGTTCTCGATGATGGTCTTGAACCGCGAAGTCCTGCGAGTTTACGAGATATTTCCCCGTGGTAAGTTTTCAATCTTGTTTCTGAAAAGTGGAGGCTGGACAAGGGGGAAGAGAGAGGGAACAAGCATACGCATTCCTCGCATAAGCGATACCATTCTCCTTGGCGACTGCGTTTCAGTCCGGCTTGACCTGCTCGCTATGCTTGAGGACGCTCAGAATGAATTTGAAAGCTGGATCTGGGGCGCCGCTTGCTGTAGCTGCCCCTCGTGGAGCCATTGTAACTTGCTGTAGAAGGGCAGGGAGTGGTGAGGGACGTTCGAAGGCAGTGAGATGGGCTCGAGGAGGAATATTCGACGAAGTGACAAACTGAGGGAAAGATGTGTGAGTGAGGAAGCAAGGATGAGTCGTGTTCTGTCCAATGTGGATGGCAGTGAAGACAAAAGAACAAAAGGAAACACACACACAGAGAGACAGAGAGAGAGAGAGTATCCGAAAAAGGATATTGAATCTGAGATGTGAATAGAAGAGCAGGCTTAATGAATGAAAGCAGAGAGCAAACACCAAAGCAACGCCTCTTTCTACCGCCAGGGCACGTGCCGTGCTCACTCAGTCATTCATTCAATCATTTACTCTGACGTCCAGTAGTTCTGATCCGTGACCTTTGCTGTGTCAAACTTGTACTCCCCGGTCTGCCTGCCCTTGAGATCCTGGAAGCCCTTCTCGGTCTGCAGCAGGTACAGGTTGGGATCCTGGGTCATGTTGAGGAAGAAAGGCACGTCCAGGCTGTTGAGGTCGCCGTCGACCCATTCGACCCCGGCGGTCGAGATGCCCTCCCACTCGCGCTCGATCTTGTCTTTCATGGCCCGTGGCAGCTTCGTGGTCATGGGGCACTGGTACCACGCCGCAAAGTAGTCGATGGCGAGCATGATGCGGTGCTTGTCGCTCCGGTTGGGCATGCCGGCGTGCCAGAGCCGCAGGTCGCGGAAGCAGATGCTGCCCTTGCGCACCTTGGGCTGCACGGGCGGCTTGACCTTGGCCCGCTCCTGGATGTATTCCTTCTTGATCCAGCCCCGTTCAGGGAACGCCTGCTGTTCTTTCTGCGGGTAGGCGTTGTGCGTGCCGCACCACACCTCCGTCACCCCGTTCTTCTCATCCGAGTCTTGCAGGTAGATGTTCATGACGAGCCCGAACGGGATCTCCGGCCAGGCGTGGGCCACGTCGCTGTGCACAGCCTGACGTGCAGTCCCTCCCGGACACGCAACGTTGCTGTTGATGAACCGCAGCTCGGGTTTCGGTCCCAGCAGATTCTCCACCACCCGGATCATGTGAGGATTCGCGTAGAAGTCGCGGTCCAGATACTCTGGTTCCAGCGGTGGGATCTGGCTGACATTGCCCGTGGCGGCGCCTTGGTTCCAGTGCATGTGCTTCTTCTGAAGGAACTCGACATTGTCCTGCACCATGCGGTTGTACAGGCGGTCGACGAGCTTGTCGGGAATGGCGTTTTCCAGCACCACGAAGCCGTCTCGGTGGAAGTACTTCAGACACTCTTGCAGCGTTTCTGGTCTGGTCTTCCCTGAATGGAGCTCCTCGTCGGTCAAGCGGATGACGACGGGATTGTCGCCGTGCTTCTCGACGTCCGTGATCAAGGCTCCATCAACGTATCGCGGTGTCGTCGATGCAGGGGGTTCCATTATCGCTGAAGGCGCCATGATGATATCGATACTCGGCCACTCGATGAAGCAATCTCAGATCCCGATAGAACAGAGACAACAGTGCTACGGGTACAACGATAGCTGTCTCTTCACCTCTCCCTCTGGAGATACTATGCCCGAGGTTGAACCAAATGAATTCCTCGATCATCGTGGTTTCAGGTCGGACTTCCTCTTCCTTGTCGGATTCCCCCACTTCGGCCGTGGAAGCGGCACGCTGAGCACAAGTCTTTCCGGCGGAATTGCCATGGCTGATGGCCGCGTCTCTCGAGTCACAAGCTGAAACGAGGGCCAGTTGGGTATTAACATAGGACTGATAATATCCTTTTAGGCTAATGGGACGGTGGTACATCTCCGCTTGTGGTAAAATGGGTTAGTCCACTATGTCTAACCCCCCTCCTCCCAGCTCCCCGCAAAATCCCCGCCACCCCAATAACTCGGATATCGAAGCGTTATCAACCATACTTTCCCCTATGCTTCACGTCGCCAGATGGTGCCATAGCCTATGTTGAGGACGCGGCTGTCTCATTGGCTGCTAGCCGAGTACAACGCCTTGCTCAAATGAGTAAATGGCACGGCTGGGACATATCGGAATGTGGCCGAGACGGCTGATCGACCATGGTTATTGCTACCTTGCCACAGATCGTCGAGACTAAAGAGGCTCTAAAGCCACTTGGACCATCACCTGGTGGCTCTTCCATGGACAATGGGAAAGTTAAACTTGCCTTGTGACCTCTGCGTCATGCGTGTCTCCATTTGCCTTGGGGCAAAAAAGCTCCTGGAACTGAATGCAACAGAGAACCATCCCGACACATCCCCTGTTCCATGCAACCTTGATGCTTCCAGAAACTGAAAGCTGCTACCCGAGGGTATCCAGCACATTCGGGGAACAGCCATGATACTGTTCGTGGACGTCCTCGTGTACCCACTGTTTCCCCGGACTGTGCCCCGACCACTTCCCCCAGATGTCTCCTCAGGGGAATCGTTTCCCTGGTCAGAAGAGATACAAAACCATGGGAAAAGGCCGTGAGCTGTGTTGGCCTCCGCATCCCTCTCACTCTCGTGGTTGCTCCTGGCCGGTTCTGCAATCATGGTCAAATTCTCTTCCCGGATCCCCAAAACCCAGACCTTGGTTGTAGGAGGCCAAGAGTATCCAGAGGTCAAATGGTGGAAACACAGATCTCTCATTCACTTGCATTTCCTTTGCGCAATTTTGCTGCTGTCTTCGGCCACCAATGGCTATGATGGATCTATGAGTATGTCGTCTCCTTCGACCTGCCGGAGAACCAGCGCGAGCTGACCGTGAGGTAGTGAACGGTCTGCAAACCTTGAGCTATTGGCAGGATGCTTTCCACCGACCTTCTGCTTCCACCCTCGGGCTATTGAACGCCATTTTTTCAGTTGGACAAGTCGTTGGCCTACCTCTAGTGCCCTTTTTCGCGGACCACATTGGCCGCAAGTGGACCATCCTGCTTGGAAGCTCCCTGATCTTCCTGGGCGTGATCTTGCAGACTGTTTCCATCAATATTGGCATGTTCATTGCGGCTCGCTTCATCATCGGGCTCGGAATTGTTTATACTCAGAGTTGCTCTCCAATGCTCATCACCGAATTGTCTCACCCTCAATATCGTGCGAGGCTGACGACAATCTACAACACCCTGTGGTATCTGGGCTCCATTATCGCTAGTTGGACAACGTATGGCACTCTCAAGATGCAGAGTCAATGGTCCTGGAAGCTGCCTAGTATATTGCAGGCATTCCCTTCGGTGATCCAACTCTTCTTGATCTGGCTCGTTCCCGAGAGCCCCCGGTATCATATCGTCAAAGGCCGTCACAAAGCAGCCAAGAAGATATTCCAGCGCTTCCACGGCCCCGCTTCGGGTCACGAGTTCGTCGAAAGTGAATATCGCGAAGTCTTGGAAACTATGGCGCTCGAGAAAGAATTCGCCTCCCGCGGCATCTCCGAACTTTGGGCAACCAAAGGCAATCGACACCGCTTGCTAATTGTCACCACAGCAGGTATATTCTCTCAAACAGCAGGTTCAGGAATAGTGAGCTATTATATCTTCCTCGTCCTGTCGCAGATTGGCATCACGGATTCCAACTCTCAGCTCGTCTTGAACGGTTGCTTGACGATTTTCAACATGTGTATCGCAACGGGGATGGCATTTGCGGTCGACAAACTCGGCCGTCGCCCTCTTTACCTGACGGCAACCTTCGGAATGTGCATAGCCATGACGGGCTGGACAATCGCTAGTCAACAGCAGCAGACGCATGGAACCACGGCAGCCGGACGGGCGGTGATCGCGCTGATCTTCATCTTCATGTTCTTCTACAACCTAGCCTGGTCGGGCCTGCTGATCGGGTACGTCGTGGAGATTTCGCCCTTCTATCTCCGGTCGCGGTACTTGACCGTCATGCTCCTTAGCGTGGCGGCAGGCTTGTTCTTCTCCAACTATGTGAACCCGGTCGCGCTCGAGAACATCCAGTGGAAGTACTACCTGTGTTACATCATCTGGCTGGCGATCCAATCCGTGGTCGTGTACTTCTTCTACATCGAGACCAAAGGGCACACGCTGGAGACGATCGCGATCTGTTTCGACGGCGAAGACGCGAAGATCGGCGGCCAGGCCGCGACGGCAGGGACGGGAGCTGCTCGGGAAGTTGGAGGATAAGGACGGTAAGGCTGCTGAGACGCACATCGAGCAGGTGCAGTCAATGGATTAGCTTGCAGTGAGAAGAGCATGTTGATTGGAAATGGTGCTGGACATGGGTGTAGTCGATGGAGATGAGGAGCTCTGGGAGCTGTAGTACCTACTCCGTAACTGTGCGTACTCTTTACTAATAGTGCGCAGACGAAATGAAGCAAGTTTAGTTAGAGGTTACGTGTTGGGTTTAGCGCCTGGGGTTCGAGAACTCCGCACTACTTTCCGAATGAGGAAGGCACTATAAGTCTCCACATCAATAGAAATTGCAGTCTTAGGCTGGCCTCATTTTGTGCCACCTGCTGCTTGCCCTGGCTATGTTTGATCTGTAGCATGATTTTGAAGTCTCGATCCGAGCTCAGTCTCTCAGATCTCCACGCTGTCACCAAGCAAGGACTCTCTCCATCTCAAGCCGTTCATTTCCAAGTTGCTATGAAACACGTAGATGCTCTATGTTGAGAATGAAACATTGTCACAGCCCAGTCTTGAGTGCTCGAGGACGTCATAGCACATTTGATTATTCCTCTGCATCCTCGGCTTTGGAATCGGTTTCATTCTTTGCCTCTGCGTCATCCTCAAAATCCGCTTCCTCTACCTTTGGCTCAACGGTCTTCTTCTTCGGAGTGGTCTTGGACTTCTTGGACGGTGTGCTTTCGTCGCCGCTCTCCTCGCCTTTCGTTTTGCGCTTGCGGGGCGTGGCTGTTTTGGTGCTACTTGGACGACCTCCACCACCACTGCCCGTAAGACCAAATTTCTTCATAATACCCCAATGACGATGGTAGCTGTAGTGAATAGTGAGAATGGATCAGTATGTGCGTAGGGACCAGGTAAATGACCTGATAGATGAGGAACGCAGTATGGGGTAGTTCTGAAGGCGCTTCTGGGAACAAATTTGGGGGTTGAAAGTAAAACTGACCATGCATTGCCACTCTTTGCTCCCGTCTCCTTCGCGACTTCCTCGAAGTTGATCTTGGGCTTCACATCTGCATGTTTGAGACATGTCATGATAAACGTGAAGTCATCGGTAGTGCCTTTCGCAGGGGCCATTTTGGCTGATTGCAATTAGTTTAAGTTGAGGGAGGAGGGAAAAGTACAGTAGGGACTTACTAAGACTGGCGCTTGGGGAATGACGAGGTTCTGTTTGTGGCAGTGTAGACTGTGGGGGGCCGGATCGGAAGGAGATGATAGACGAGATATCGAAATAGAGAATAGACAGGTGCTGGAGAAAGATTTCGCAAGAGAACAAAGACTTGGATCGAGAAAGGAAGTGACTAAATAGGCATGGGATGCGTACGAAAATAGACCTCTACACACCTGGAATTACCACCTGATCAAGCAGTGAGAGGAGGAGAATTCGTCGACTTTTCATTTCTCAAGCCAGTTCTAATGGGATTACAACCAAATCACAGGGTAATACTGAAGGAAAGGTAATAGTCAATCAATTCATTCTGCTTTCCTCTCAAAGATCGAGAGTCAAAATGCCTATCCGGGCCCTTCTCGGGGGCGTTTTCACTAACTCTATGCCTGTGGGGCTAAGTAAAAGGTTGTTTCAACAACGATCTCTTCTCTAATGCCCATTTGGTGACTGTCCAATGTTCACAGAGTTCGCAGACAATCCAATTCTTCCCAATCTCATGAAAGATCACCAAGTCGAGAAATCAAGAAGACAGGATACACTCGGTGCATCAACGGCACGAATCCTTATCGTCCTGCTCCTTGCTGTCCTGCTCCTTGCTGTCCTGTTCCTTGCTATTTTCCTTCTTGCTGTTTTCCTCCTGATAATCAACGACCTCTGTCTTGACAACCTTCGTAGCGGCACCCACCAACATGGCTGCGGGAATCTTCTGATGGACCACCTTTCCAGCTCCGCTGGCGTTGCTTCCTGGCGTCGCCTCGTCATCACCCAAATTACCACCGTCCGGAGTTTCAGGATGGAACTTCTTGGCTCCTTTGCCCTTGGGCCGCTGCGCGATGGTTGTGCTAACCTCGACGTCGTCATCGTTCTCAATACCCTCAGCGAGCTTGGCAGCCTTGGTCTTGGTAGCTTTCGCGCGAGGTTTCTTCTTGGGAGGGCCGTCCTCTGCCTCGTCAGATGCATTTCCACGCTTGGCATTGTCAGTGATTTTCGCGAATTTCTTGTCGACTTGGATTCCCTCCTTGGCAGAAACCTTGCGCTTGACAACAGTAGCGGAAGTAGCTTTGGTTTCGTCCTTGCCGTCTTTGTTGGTCCAGGCAGCTCCTCCGTCTTCGAACTGCTTCATGATAATGCGGTACTTGTTGCTGCCGAGCAATTTATTAGCACACCAGTTGAGGGTTGCACACTGGTTGCGCGCGGCGGCAGAGGGGCGGAGGTGTATGAACGTGGTATATGCCAACAGCAAAGGAATACTGTCCTGTCATGGGTGAGGAGGGAAATTCGAGACAGGTCAAGACATCATAAAGGAAAACAAAAACGGAGAACTTACGAAGCTCCACCCTTGCTCATATCAAGTTCCTTTGCCAAGGCATCGAAGTCGACAGTGACCTTCTCCTTCGCGTACTTGATGCAAGCTGCAAGGAAGGCTTCATTGCTGATCGGAGCCATTGCGGCTGATTGATGTTGGACTAGTCCTTGGTGTTTGAGAGGCGATTTAAACTCTGGAGAGGCCTAGATGCATGGAGGAAGATGGTCAGTGAGCTTGCTTGAATGATCAGGGGCAGACAAAGAGCTATTATACCGATTGTCTGAAGATGTCTGGGTGAGTGCCGTGAGAGTCATGCGCGATGGGGAATTTGTATGGCGGTGAGATGGAGAAGAGGGCGAAGAGGCATGAAAGTCATGTTTGTTGATGGAAAAGTGAATTACCACCCGCAAAAATTTCGCTTAGTCGTTCGCGGATTCGCATAGAAGGCCATATTCAAGGTGGGAGATGACCCCTGGGGATGAAGGTGAGGCATTAAGAAATCCCTAGGATAATGAACACCAGCAACTCACCTTGCATTGGCTCCGGCAAGGACATGAAGAGTAGTGAGAGCCTGGAACTGCATCTCTCTCCTTTTTGATTGCCCGGGAGCCCAGAACCCTCTTTGTTCATCATCTATGAGATCCTCCGTACCGTCTGGACCGTTAGGACGACAAGGCGCGCCCGAAAGGAGTCCTCCGCTTTGTCTATCTTGCAGCAATCGACAGAGACCCAAGTCTGTTCGATACCTCTGATATGTTGCCATTACTGGCCGCATCACCTAGCCATCTTCCAGCTGTTCCTCTTCCCACCATCACCATCCCTAGAATGTGTCTTCCACAGGCAATTGAATGGGAATAGAGCCTAGTCATCCATCCCACATGTCCCAAGTGCAACGCAGAGGATTCAGCCTGAACAAATGCATATTTTACGTTTTGAATGTCTCCAGGCACTGAAAGGCAAGCATGTAAACCCAGAAGCATTTCTCCCGCAAAACGTTGCGTCGACACTCGGCTGACCTTTCGTATGCTCTGTGAGAAGAGCACCTCATCATCTGCACACGCCGACCGGACACGTTCGGCTCCTTGCTCAAGGATAGCCCGAATACATCAAGGCGATCCGGTCATACCTTTTTCGGGCAATGATGGAAGAGACGGATCATATAGTCACGCTGTCGCTAAGGTGTCAGAGCAAGCAAGGGAGGGAATTAGAGCCCAAACTTGGAGTTGGGCATTGCCAGTGGCTTGCCGCTTCCTGACTCCCAACGTCTGTTTTGAAGGCTGGCAGGAAAAGCCTCCCTTTTGCTGCACGACCTCCCGGCCCTACCGGGTTTGCGTATGTGCGAAGCCGCCAGTATATTTCATATTAGAACTTCCAAAAAGGCCTTTTACTTGCAGGGTGGTGCAGCTCATGGACCTGGGAACGGCTTATCACGCGTCCCTTCCAGAGTCCGGAATAGGAGACTTGCAGCTCCAGCCGCACGCCGGCTGTGGCAAATCCCACGGCGCGAAGACTTGCATATCATCTGCGTAAAGCAACCGCTGCCGACATCGCAGCAACTTCAGCGGACGCGCACCCTGGACTTGCGTGGGAAACGCCACCGATGCGATGCTGTCCTTTACCGTGGTTGACCCGGCGGGAAAATACTGGAGCATCCTAAACTCGGCGATTGTCTCCGTTTCCCAAGAAGATTCGCGTGGGATTTTTGGTTTTCTTTGGGCTGTCAGGTTCTCGAACGCGTCGATGCAATGCAAGAATGGACTCCCGATGCAAGTGACATGGGCTGTGACATGGGCTGTGATATGGGCTGTGACATGGGCTGCGACAGGGTCAATGGTCCTGTGCTGTGCATCGTTCTTTTCGCCAGATGTGGCATGCGACTGCAGACAGGTAATAACGACGAAGTCCACGCCCATTGCCTCGCAAGAAATCGGTCCAGATCCGAGAAAACCGTCAGATTACGGACGAGATTCTATCTGATGGCCAGCAAGGGTTGGGAAGACAGATCCTTGCACCATGACGAATTGAACCTTGTTCAGCAGCCGGGGACTGAGGAAATGAATCGGGTGTCCAACTCCTCGGTAACATACGCACGAAAGATATCAAACAAGAGTGGTGTGAGACAAAACGAAGGCTCGGGAGTGGTCACTGGTCAGAGCTTGGAGCTTGGAGCTCGCTTGTTCAGTAGCGAGCTCAAATGATATGTCGGAGCGCTGACTCGGCGGGCCTGGCCACCATGCCTCCCTGCCTGCCCGTGGGCAACATGGACCATGGGTTCAAAATTCTCTTCGCCCACGTGGCTCATCGGTGATGCCGCGACTGTGGCTTGCACACTAGCATCAAAACTAGTTATGGGAACACCACGTGGACTGGTTGTCAGCCCCAAACATCGCTTAGGGGCAGGAGACTCCGCGCCCCTCACTACCAATGGACTCGCGATCTTGTGTGTGTTGGACGACCAAGATGACATACAGTGGCTTTTGGCGCGCTTGAGCCACATTCTCGGTAGCCCTGCGCCGAAATCAGAAT